TCGCGCCGGCGCGGTGTGGGGGGGGAGTGGGGGGGGGGGGGGGGGGGGAGAGAGGTCCCTTTAAGCACATGTCTCAGATAGCCTCAGGCAACAGCCACACACAAAGTAACTCTTGACCTGATGCCCTGCCGGACCTGGTTCTGACTGGCCTTAAATGCGATTCAGCATCCACTCAGTGTGGATGTGCTATTTCGAAATAGCAAAACACTATTTCGAAATTCATTTTGTGTGTAGACGCATTATTTCAAAATAAGCTATTTTGACGCTGTAGTGTAGACATACCCTAAGATGCTGCAGAACTGTCTGACTGTAAACCATCCAGTATCCAGTGAGTGATGCATTTTTGGACAGACCTTTCTGTCATACAAACTTTTTGAATAAAAGGAAAACCTGCTAAGGTGCTCTGTAATGGTAGGTGATGCCAATCTCTGTGTAGATGTTATTAAATCAAACCAATAATCTGGTCCTCTGGTATTTGCGATCCTCTGTGTGTTGAACATTGGTACCCTTAAAGGAAAAAAACCTTATTAATACCAATGTAATGTTTTCTCCTCAAGTTTCCCTCTCCCTCACACCTAAAATTGTTATAGACCAAAGTGACAGGAAATGTTCATTGGATATGATCAGGTAAAATATCTTAAAGCTGTCTACCTGAAAATGAAACAAGGTATGAGTAGTGCAGTTATGCATGTTCAGAGGATGACAAAATTTAAAATAAATGTTGCATGAGAAGAAAGTTAGCACTGAAGTTGAAATCACCTTTATTTACAATGTATAGCTTTTGATGGTGGGAATGTATGTCTAAAACTTCTCATCTTAAGTCATGTTCTGTTTAAAAATCTAGTCATTATGTACTCTCTTGTGTTTCTGGAAGCCATAAGTGGCCTGTATGTGAAGGGTCACTCATTTAAAGCACTGGAAAATAGGATTTTCCAGGAATAACTTGTCAATAAAACAATTTTAAGATAAAACATCACTGATAATTAGATCTATAAGAATTTGGATGGGCATTGATTAATGCGAACAGAGATGGTAAGAATCTCAGTGAAGGAAAAAACCATTTAGATGTGCATGTGCTCTGTAGGACAATCTCTGCTTTCTTGTTTCTTCTTTCTGAAATCCATAAACCTTTAGTCTCTTCCTCATCCCACTAAAAGCAAACAACCCCCACCATCAACAACAAAATTCTACTCTTAACGTATGACTAAATGTTGTCACACTGTTTCTGTGGCTCTGTCTGATTTCAGGTTTAGTGCTGTTTAATACTTCAATGATGATTTTTTTTTTAAAGGGGAAGGAATATATACACCCTAATTTAAATCTGTAAAGAACTCTGTCTTTCTGCTCAAGTATAATTATTATTTCAGTTCTTTTGTCTGTTGAGAGTAGTAGCTGCTTGTGTGAACAAAATGATTTCTCTCATTCAGTTGAGAGACAGTGGACAGGGCATTTGCCTGCGGAGTGCCGAGTGAGGGGTTCAGGTTCCGCCCTCCTCCTCCACCCATTCAGGCAGCGGCAGGTTAGCCAACACCAGGTATCCCACTATTGCAATTGAAATGCTTCTGTTCTGTGAATGGAATATGTGCTTATCTAAAATTAATCAATCTGAAAAGCTGTAATTTTCAGTGATCAGCTTAGAATTCTGTACATTATATTGTACATCTCTAAGAATAATCAATAAATGCCTTAAAAAGGAGGTCTTCAAATATTAAAAGCTTTGTAATCAGTCAGACATTAGATTAACATATTAGATCATTTTAGTTTAATTGTTTTGTGAAGGATTCGAGAGTATGGACATTTTATTCTGAGTAACTACTTAATGAAAATTTGGGAGGAAAAATTACCTACTTATTGCTAGATTTTGCTACCGTGCTATCTTGACCCAGCTTTATTGGTGCAGCTGTACCACTGTAGTGTGTCTCATGAAGATGCGCTATGCAACAGGAGAGTGCTCTCCCATCGGCATCATTACTCCACCTCAATGAGAGGCAAAATGTGTGACACTGCCATAAGTCAGTGGGGCCAACAATGCATAGGGGCAGCTTTTTCACAACCCTGATTGACGTTAGTTACATTGACTTAAGTGGTAGCATAGAGGAGCCCGTACTGTCAGTGGAAGTGGAAACATCACTTTCCCATGTAATAGAATAAGAAAGCTCTTCATAAAATGGGTCTTCCCCATTCTCTGAGAAACATGGATTAGAGTACTTAGTAGGCTTTGAATAGAAGCAGATGTACAATAATTTTTAGGTGAAAGGAAACTATTGTTTGCAGAGGAAAAATATTGGAGTGCCAACGGAGAATCTCTTATTACTTTGTCAAAATCCTGAGGTCTGTCACCCTCCTGAGTTTCTTATCAGGCTTTGTATA